AAACGCCTTACTGAAATCAAGATAAAGTGAAGTCTCACTTACTGGAAAGCTATTAATACACTGATGCTACGGATGTATTTCTGGATGCTACTACTTCTAAGCCCGTGTGGTCCATTTTTAGAACCAAAGACGTACCATGTTTCTACACAACAATGAGCAATTCATTCCATTTCAGTGAATGACACAGTAACAGTTTTAGTTCCTTTAACTACAGTACATTTCCTCCATGAAAACAAATTGATGTGTTATTTTGTTGTAAGTAAAAAGATAGCAAAATATTTCAGGCATTATAACTGCCTTACTCAAAAGCTATGCAATTAAAACCAGAAAATGTTAACAGCACTGTACTGTCACACTGTCTCATGTAATTCCTGTCATTAAAGGCTGACACTTCCATAGGCATGAGCGTTAAGAGACAAGAAAAATAACGAAAAAATAAAGGTATGAACAAAAATTACTCTGGCAAAGGTAAAAATGTTTTCTTAACACTAACCTAAACCAGCCACTATCAAATTGGCAGAACGTATGGAAAAAGGAGCCCCCAAGCCTTGCAGTTCTTGAATGACAGACAGCACTACACGTGTTAATACTGATGTAAGAAAAGTGTATTACAATGAATCAAAAGGCTAGATTCTGTTGTGTAAATTAAATATGAAGCAAGGACATAGTACTAATAGGTATCAGTCAATTATTAGGCAGCTGCTGAGCTTAACCTGTGACAGGTGGGGAAGAAATTACATGATCCAGTGTAATGCATTAAAATTTAAATTGACATACAAAACTATGTGTCATTCCTGAGGAGACCGCAAATTCAGACATAATTATTTTCAAAAAGCACCTGTGATTAAATTTCTCTCTCAAAATGAAGCAGCTTGACTATGAGTGCATCTTTACGACTTAACCCACACTGCTTTTTCATTCCCCCCCTGAAGTTTTCCACAAAGAGCTAAACTCACCAGTGCATGCTCTTTAATGAACTCAGGAAAGTCACAGTTCAAGTGGCGCCATGCTTACTAGTTACAAAACACCTATGAAACACCTATTTCTCGTAGTCTTGATTACAAGATATTCTAATATTTTAGTGAAGCATCAGATATAATTACAGTGCATTATATACAGAGTATAGAAATATTTTTGTAGGAAAAAAATAAATAGAAAAAAATATGTAAACATCCCAAGTGAAACTCTGCTGCCACTGAAGTCTGTTACAGAACCGCCACAGGCAGAAGCACAGGCAGTATTTCACCTCTTTTTAAAGCACACAGCAGTGCACATAACTTCGTTCAGAACAGTTTAAAGTGCATACAACATTTTAACAAAAAATAAATTCATAAGCTTTTGAAAGTTTTACATATGCAGATTTCATTCGTATCTATTACGCCTCCTCAGTCCCATCTCTTCTGATTCAGTAACATCTTTGTTTATCATTTCTGGGTCTTCTACCACATCTGGCTCAAACTGATGTACTTCACATTCATCGCATAATTCATGCTCTTCCATTTTGTAATCATTATCAACATCCTCAAGGAAATCTTCATTACTGTAATCTTCTCTGTCATCTACTTCTTTCTCTTGAGAATGTTCAGCAAATGACTGAATGAGATCTTCAAGCTTCTCGTTACAAATGTGGCTGACATCTTAAAAGTCACAAAAAAAACAAAGTTTAAATTACTAGAAAGGCTCCAAATTTCAGGGTCAGTTTAAAAACAGGAAGTTTATTTTTTTTTAATTTTTCTATCTTTTACTAAGACTCAACTAATGCAAAAATGAACCATTCTTAACACTGAAGATTTCTTGTGGACTACTACTCACCTCCTGGAAGTCTCCAGCTGCAATTAATACCCAATTTGCTGTTTCATATCATTATACAAGCATCATGCACAGCCTCAGAAGTCCCTGTCCAGGAATCCTCAGACTAAGATTAGTCCAATACTAACAGACTGCTCAGGAATTCGTATTCAAGAATCAGTTCTAACAAAGTAGAACATGACTATGTGGTTTATCCTACTTCAATGTCCTTTAGTATCTATTTTAAAGAAAAAAATACATGTATCAAATATTTGAAATTAGATACATCTTCATCAGGAAGAATGCCACTCCTCCAGAACAAAATTAATTCTACACACATTTCACCTAGGATGCAGGAGCTGAACATTTTTGTAGTAAGACCTGTTTATTCTTTAAAAATATAAACTACTAAGTAATAGATCCTACTGGAAAACAACGTACCTTTAATCTCGTTTTCTGATTTATCCAATCCACTTTCTTTTATCAGTCGTCTAATTGATTTGAGCTGTGTCATTATTTCATCTTTCTGCTCACAAGCTAAAGCATTAACACTACAAAAAAGAAATCAGATGTCAATCTCTTAAAGATTACTTTGTAAAGGAGTGCTTGGTAGTAACGTGTAAGTGCACAGTATTTCCCTTTGTGGATAAATACCATAGTTAAGTCAGCAACACATGTAGATCAAAAACTGTCTCTTGAGAAGTGGTGAGCCCATCACTTATACCTACTGAGTAATTTAGTTGCTGAATTCTAATATCAGAGCCCCAGTGTTCAAGGCTGAGTAATGACTACTGAAAGAAACAATCACCTAAAGTAATTTTTAGGACTGTATTGCCTAATACAGTTTAGAGGCTCATTGTTTCAGATTTTGTTTACCCTCTTCTCCTCCCTATCACTACTAGAAATTTTTTTGCAAACTGGTTACTGAATTTACTGCTTAATAGTTGAAGAGCATATTAAGTTCAAAAGCACATTAAGGGAACAGCCATGAAATTCTGCATGCTTTAAACTAGGCTTCATGCAGGATGTCAGTCTGCACAAAATGGACTTTATGGATATTTTTATTTCCCATAGGTGGGTAAGGACCCAGCTTCTTAAGGAAAGAACACCTCTACAACAACAAGGGGGTTATATTATGTATTTCCTTGTTATACTACAACAGAGAAGTTGTGTTTCCCTGAAACACACACAGTCACTAAACAGGTTCAAGACACAAAAATAAGTTGCTACTCCTTGACAGACCCGTTCTGTTTTCTCATCATATCAAAAGGAAGAAACTCTTTCTGCTACCAGAAATCTAATTCCCACAAGGACTTTCAAATAGCTACTGAGCTTAAGTATTATTTCAGTATTAGTCTCCTCAGTCAACATTAAAGTTTAACTCATTAAGCTGCAGTAACATGACCCTAAGTCTGAGCTTCTGCATTTATGTTCGGTGAACAACAGACAGAAGGTGTCTGTGGAAAAGATCCCAAATTGCAGAACTATTACTGCAGAAGTCTACAGAAACTATCAGTAATTATAGAAGGCTCCTAAACACTATTCCCAACCTACATAAGGAACATTTTAAGAACTCTGTTAACATTTTGTAGAATTTCAATGGACTGAAAACAAGATTAACTGAGATGTTTTGAAAACACTCACCAGTTCGACAGTGGATCCAACTGAGTCAATAAAGAATTTAACATTTTCTCTGTCTGTGCTAGATGCTGCTCTAGTTCTAAAAGCTGATGCTCTAACAAAAAAAAAAAAAAAAAAAAAAAAAGAAAATGTAAAAGGAAAAAGGCAAAGGGAGAAGGGAGGGGGGAAAGAGAGGTAAAAGAGAACATTGTAAGAAATTAATTTACAATACCAAAAGGATATTAATTTCTATTTTTGATTGGACAGATTCAAAAAGGAAGCTTTTTTCTCTATAAAATTTTAAATATGAAAAGGGAGTGGTGGGGATAAAAACTGAAGCTTTACTATGTGTGACAGAAGTCCTCACCCAATAACCTGTCTCAAATAAGCAGAGGACACCTTTGTAGAAACTGAGAATATGACTCTCACCTTCCCAGCCTCAAAAACTAAGCAGTTCAAACAGTTCTTGAGGTAGAAGTAGTGTATTTACACTTAATATACTGTCATGAATTTGCCCCCTCGCACCTCGCAGATATATTCAAGACTGAATGCACTAGAACTGAGAGGAGTAACTCTTCCTAAAATATTAAGCTTTGAAGAAAGAAGAATGCAACACAGGAGGACAGCAAGTAGGCAGTGCAGCACATCACTGCTCAGACTGATTACAGACCTGGTGTGTAGGGATGCCAAAAGAGGATGCTAGTTGTTTAACTGTGTCAAGGGGCAGAAAAAGTATGAAAACAGCTCAACTCTGATATGTCATATTTTTTTCTCCAAAGGAAAGCCCACTTCTTGGCACATGCAGAATAAACTTAATCAGACAGCCAAAAGTACTCACTATCATGAAAAAAAAAAAGGATGGTATCATTTATTCTGTCTCTTCTATAAACTTTTTATGGTTTTGACAGATCTGTAATTTGACCTAGAAATTCAACAGTCTCTGTTAACTGTATTTCCATACTGTTACATTATCAACAGAATTAAATTCTTAAGTAGATCATTATATCCTTTTAAATACCCTGTCAATCTAAAGATTATAATATTCTATGTAAACATCCTATTCTACTGAGGAAAACTGAACAGGTCTTGAGAAAATACATCAGACATTAGAAGGCAGAAAATCATACTATATTACTATAGCTGTTTTAAAGAATATTACCATAGCTGTTTTAAAGAATATTACCATCTGGAGTGTTCACACAAAACTCTAACAAGTGTTTCAAATATACAGAATAAATAAAGTGGAGGTTTGTAGGTTTCTAACTGCGCTTAAGTAACGTCAAAGACTGCTTGTTCTCCATGAGCAAGACAACTTCAATGAAAATATGTAGCCTTGTTCAAGCAGGAAATATGTATTTTTGGTGAACAGATGCATTCTGAATGAGTATCTTACCTGTTTCCTTTGCCTTGTCTTCTGTACTTTTTTCCTTTTTGGAGAGACTTTCTTCATGTGACCTCATCTTTAATAAATACAATTATGTTAAAAGACTCCATCATTCATCACTAATTAAAAATTAGTGTATTAAAAATAAAAAATGCATTTAGAAATATATTGGAAGTAAACAGCAACCACTAAAACATGCTCCATTAATGTGGTATTTTTTTCTGCCATGCCTTCTTCCTATCTTAAACTAACAATTCAGACTTTAAGCAATAACTGCATGACTGACAACAGCTGTAAAACTAAGCAATTGATATTTCAACACCAGTTTTCAAAAATGAACAGACGGAACCATTTAGGTTACTGGATCCAGTATCCTCTAATTAACTAGGAGGTAAAAGTTCTTTCTTAATGAAGACGCTACTACAAAAATATTTACATTTTAACCCTGCAAAACAGTTGTAACACACAAAAATATTGTTTTTCTTATGTTCAAATCTTACAACTTAATTACATTTATTTTTAAAACCAAACTGGTTAGCATTGGTGTCCATTTTGCTGTGCTGAAGTATTTTTCTCATATAAGAGACAATACGAAACTAACTACCAAAATTAAGATGCTGTATCCAGTCCTGTTTAAGATGTTTTTTTTTCTTTTCCTTGAAGGCAAGCAACAACATTCCAGGTACACTCTCAGCACTGCAAGTGCTGCAGTATCTCTGACTGTAAATGATACGTATCAAGACTGTTTTTTTTTTAAAAAACAACCGATCCTGTGTTCTTCTTCTCTAATTTACAGTGGTAGAAAAGGTATCACATTTCGTGGTTAAAAGCCTTATGTTTCAGCTGCATGACCAAGTAAGCAGTCCACGTAAAAGGTCGTGTCTACTCACTGTTCTCTGCAATTGCTAAGCTAAAACTCTTCCTCTGCAGGTATCAGCCATTTCCTTCCCATACTCAATCTCATTCTGAAGAATGACAAGGAAGTGAAACACTGAGGCTTAAGTGACAGCCTCAGGTAACAGCACTGTTCATGTTCTGAGACTCATATAAAGCTGAGGGTGAGTTAAGATTCTCACCTCTTTAAGCATCTAAAAAGATACGTTAGAAGCCTACAGAAGGAAGAATCAGAAATGCTGAAATTTTAACTTTGGAGCTCACACTCAAAGTCAAAGCAAGCAAGAAAGGGCTTTTGGATGAACGTGGGCTCAGAACTGGGTGGGGACAGACAAAACAAAACCAAAACACACCAAAAATCCACACCAAACAAACCCATTTACATTTCCTTCTAATTTCAGTAACATAATGCTTATGTCTTACCTTAAGAAATTTGTATGCTGCAAACACTCCCACTCCCAGAGCATACAATGGCATAAGGGTGAATGCTAACTCTCTGCCATTTCCTCTTGTTCTCTCACTCTTTATCTCTTTTTCCATTGCGTTTCTCATCTGCTGAATACTCTGGTAAGTACTGCTGTCAGAATTTCCTGGATTTACATGAAGTTGGTGTACAGTCTGAGGACTACCTAAAAAAATTAATTGAGAGAAAGAAAACAAAGTTAGAAAGGAAATTGAAAGTTTAATTAGTTTTACAACTGGAATTAAATTCTTTTCTTTCTGTGTGATCATCTTTGTTCATCACTCTTCTAAGATGGTGTGGCCAGCCCTGCAACCAAATACAGTTTAAAGAATAATTAAAATTTAAAAATCCCTTCTTCATGAATAGAATGCCAAGCTAAATCTAGGTGGGAAAGACTCTCAAATTAAGTTTCTATGTTTCTTTAAGTTTCTTTTTTCACAGCAACATTGGCAAACCCATAACAAACCACAGAAACATAGATGTAACAAGAAACAAATCTTGAAATTAAAGCATACTCAGAGAAACTACTCAGAATGCTAAGAACAGTTATAAATTAGTATTTTTTGTTTGTAACAAAGAAAGCAGGTAAGTGGAAATTGAAAATTGAGTTGTCTAGTCACCAAAAAAAAAAAAAAACAACCAACCCAAACTGAAATATACATACTGTGTTGCTGCTTTCATTATGTTGACAGTAAATTCAGTGTTATATGGATACTCCCACAGGCTTAGAAGTGCTGTACCTGTGTAAATCAAGTATTTAGCAGGAAAAGAGCAAAGAGATGCAACCTTGGAAGTCTGAAGTATTTTTTGCATGTGATTTGCCTACCAGAACAGGGAGCAGATTAAACAGCCAGTGTCATTGTCTGACTTAGGAATTGGGTTATTTGGTAGTTAAATCGGGCATGGGACATGCATATGAGAAACAGTGCTATCAGCTAAAGAATGCAGCTGTTTGCAGAGACAGACAGCAGCTGACTGGAGGGCTGTGAAGTCTCAAAAATTTGCAGTAAGGTAACTCAAGCGTGCAAGAGACACCCACAATGGGTACAGAAAAAAAATTAATGTAAACCACAACTCCCAGTGAAACAACTGCCTGGCTACATCTCTTCCAAACCCCAGAGAAAAAGGCATCTGATTCTGCTAACCCAAGCTCATATGTTGTTTTAAGAGATCTCAAAAGGTGTTTTAGAATTGTCTAAAATGAGTTACTTTGAAAAGTTTTTCAGATTTCCAGACTTTTTCAGACTACCTTATGCAGTGCTGGGCCAGTACATCACTAAAATCAGATGCATGTGAGGTGCTGCTTTTTAAGGTTTGGTTTGAAAATAATTTCATCAGTAGGAAATGACGGCTACTACATAAATTAAAAGTATTCAAGATTAACAGGCCAGGTGAGAGTTTATGAACTTCAACATCAGCCAGGAAGGAGAGCAGCTCAAGCCTTACTTTTTCTGCCTTTGAAAGGTACCCTCAGGGAAAAGCAGAGACACATGATTTGGGAAGATTACAGCAACTACCTCTTGGTTCACAGTGCCTTGGACGACATTATCAATGGACCACAGAGCTACCACAACAAAGCAGGCTTTTTGTTATTTTCGAGAACGAAAGTGGACCTTTGCACCTTCAGCTAAGTCCTCAGCTGGCGTAGACTGACGAAGGTTGACATACATTCACACCACTCCAGCTTTAACGAGCAGCAAGCTCTCTAGCCCATTCAGTGACATCTTTTCTGAACAAGCACCCTGGACTTTCCAACACACTACCTGACAAATCTCAGGCGATTCCGTGGTAACAGTTACTAACGGTGACACTCGGCTTCCTTATTGCCATTCTAACGTGGGCAGTGTTTGTTTGTTTGTTTGTTTGTTTCTCTCTCCGATACCTCGCAGCGACTGATCTGTGAGAGTAACTACCTGGGCCCTGCAGGCACTACTCGTTAAACTGCCCAGAACAGATACACTGCTAGTCACTCGGTATCACGTGCATTTAAAGGTAATTTTCTTAAGACAAGGCAGACAAAAAACAAAACCGTAATGAGCTAGAAAAGCAGAACACAAAGCGGGGGCGAAGGGGAAGGTAAAGGTGAGGACACGGGCGCCGGCCCGGGCCGC